GGGATCCCAAAAAGGGAGCCCTAAAAAGGGACTCCAAAAAGGGACCTCAAAAAGGGACCCCAAAAAGGGCACCCTAAAAAGGGACTCCAAAAAGAGACCTCAAAAAGGGACCCCAAAAAGGGACCCAAAATGGGACCCCAAAAAGAGACTCCAAAAAGGGACCCCAAAAAGGGAACCCTAAAATGGGACCCCAAAAAGGGACTCCAAAAAGGGACCCCAAAAAGGGAACCCTAAAAAGGGCACCTCAAAAGGGGCACCCCAAAAAGGGATCCCAGAAAGGGATACCAACAAAGGGATCCCAAATCCCAAAAAAAGGCACCCAGACCCCAAAAAGGTCACCCAGACCCCAAAAAAGGGCACCTGAACCCCAAAAAGGGGTACCCAGACCCAAAAAAGGGCACCCAAATCCCAAAAAATGTCACCCAGACCCAAAAAAGGGCACCTGAACCCCAAAAAAGGGCACCTGAACCCCAAAAAGGGGCACCCAGACCCCAAAAAAGGGCACCCGAACCCCAAAAAGGGCACCCACATCCCAAAAAAGGGCACCCAGACCCCAAAGAAGGGCACCTGAACCCCAAAAAGGGGCACCTAAATCCCAAACAGGGCACCTGAACCCCAAAAAAGGGCACCTGAACCCCAAAAAAGGGCACACAGACCCCAAAAAAGGGCACACAGACCCAAAAAAGGGCACCCACATGCCAAAAAAGGGCACCTGAACCCCAAAAAGGGGCACCTAAATCCCAAAAAGGTCACCCAGACCCTCGTTGTCCCCTCCCTGTCCCCTCCCTGTCCCCTGTGTCCCCGCAGGTGATCACCCCCGAGGGCAGCCGCTCCTTCGGCTGCGCCTCCCTGGCCGAGCGCGACCGCTGGATAGAGGAGCTGCGCCGGACAGCGCAGCCCAACAAGGTGGGACAGCTCGGGGACAGCCTGGGGACACCTTGGGGACACCCTGGGGACACCCTGGGGACAATTTGGGGACGCCTCGGGGACATCCTGCCACCCCCAGCCCCCTCATCGTGCTGTCCTGTGCTTGGGCTGGGTGGGAAAACTGAGGCACAAGCTGCCAAGCATGGAGCATCCTTTGTCCCCTTGTCCCGTGTCCATTGTCCCCTTGTTCCCTTGTCCCATTGTCCCCTTTGTCCCCTTGTCCTATTATCCCATTGTCCCTTGTCCCCTTGTCCCATTGTCCCCTTGTCGCCTTGTCCCCTTGTCCCTTGTCCCTTGTCCCCTTGTCCCCTTTCTCCCCTTGTCCTTTGTCCCATTATCCCATTGTCCCTTGTCCCTTGTCCTTTTGTCCCTTGTCCCCTTGTCTCCTTGCCCCCATATCCCCATGACCCCCACCCACATCTCCATTATCCCCTTGTCCTTTTGTCCCTTGTCCCCTTGTCCCTATACCCCCCTGTCTCCTTGTCCCTTGTCCCCTTGCCCCTTGTCCCTCGTCCTCTTGTCCCTTGTCCCCTTGTCCCATTATCCCATTATCCCTTGTCCCCTTATCCTTTTGTCCCTTGTCCTTTTGTCCCTTGCCCCTTGTCCCTGGTCCCCTTGTCCCTCGTCCCCTTGTCCCTTGTCCCTTGTCCCCACAGGACAACTGCGAGCGCCTGGAGCTCTCCCTGACCCTTTGGGTCTACGAGGGTCGCGACCTCCCGGCGCGGCGCCGCCTGCGCTGCCACCTCCACCTGGATGGCGCCGTCTTCGCCCGCACCACGGCCAAGCCGGCCGGCGCTGACGGCCAACTCTTCTGGGGCGAGCTCTTCCACTTGGCCGCGCTGCCGCCGGCGCGCGCCCTCACCGTCTCCCTGTGCCGTGACGACCACCCCGGCTGGCAGCCGGTGGCCGCCGTCACCATCCCCCTGGCCGAGCTGGCGGCGGCGGGGCAGCCCCTGGAGCGTTGGTACCCCCTGAGCGGCGGCGGTGGG